TATCAGTGTATGCATATTTCATCTGATCTGATTTCATGTTTAAAAAGCGAGCAAGAAAGTGGTTCAAGTTGTGGAAACAATGACATCACACTGGATGTTCAATCTGGTGACCCAGCCCAATCAAGCTGTAGGGGACTAAACGTTTTTAAAGATGTTATCTCACAGTGCAGGGCTTAAGATTTTAGCATGTTTGCTGCTTTTCATTTTCATCTACTTTCATCTGTCCTGCTTTAGTGCAGTATGTTTCACAATTAGTTTCAGTCAGAAGAACAGAGACCAAACAGGAAATCTTTCTTTTTCTGTCAAACACAGATGCAACTAACTCAGACAGGCAGAAACACCCTCATAAATACACACCATGAACGACTAACAAATCCAGCCACAGATGTAGCAAAACTAGCACACACGCACCCCAGATCAAAAATAGACTGTAAAATTCTGTTTATGATCAGTGCATCTGGACAATTTTAATATACTGAAGCAATAAATATTTTTTATACTCCTCCCACCCTTAGGGGATTACAAAAAAGGGATTCCAAAGGATTGCTCTCAAAATGTTTCTTTTTAATAAAAATCAAACCAGCACTGAGTGAGAGATATTTCAAACAAAACACACTGAGCCGAGCATGAAATATATAGTTTCTGTGCCAAGGAGAGAGACCTGGGGAATATATAGCACAGAAGAGAAAGAGCAAAAAAGGGAGGAAGAGGAGAAGGAGGAGGGGGGGGTCCTCTGAACTGCTTTTCTTCAAACATGATTGCCTCACTAACTTTCAAAATGCTGTTGATTTAAGCAGAGTGCACACAAGGAGGGTAAGGTTTCTGAAGACGAGGGGGGAGAGGAAGGTCATCATAACTTCAAAATCAGAGAAAAATGTTGGTCATAATATTTTTCTTAACAGACGCCCAAATGAGCGACCTTTGACCTTCTGTGATGCACATCTTGTTGGAATATCTCACTGGTCAGGCTTACAAATGTTTATGTTGTTGCTTTGTTGGACACACAGTACTTGTGCCAGATGAATGTGAGAAATACTCAGCAAAAGCATGACAGCGAATAACAGAACCTTGAACCTTGTCATCTGTCATTCAGCGCAGTGAAGGCCTGGCCCACTCAAACTATTCCTGGCTTTTTCCTCACAACAGTTAAGCCAATATTATCATAGTACAGAATATAAGACCTGTTTTATTCTGTTTTTATATAAGAGCTTGTTATTCACTCAAGTACTGTAAGGACTATGTGTCTTCAGCACAACTTGTTTTTTTTTTCCTTTATTGTGCACTGCTGATATTACTTTCCTCCTGGCAAGAAAATTAAATTGGGGACACAAGTAGCGATGGGTATAATCAATCCACACTGGCAGAGAGTGCATGATAATTATAAACAAAAACTGTGTCATTCCCCATGAGGAGAGCAGCTGCAGGGGTGACAGGCGGTGCTGAACATAAATATGGATCACAGGACTAAAGATCTGCGATCTAACGCAACCGCAGTTCTACTAGTTTTACTCAGGTTGGTTTCAAAGCATGCAGATGATGTGGACGGGAGGAAAAAAAAAATATATATATATATATATATATATATATATATATATATATATATATATATAGATTGAGTTAGAAAGCGCTCAGATAACTGTCCTTGTCAAACGAGGATGGCCTTACATCATTGAGTGAAGTCAGAGCAAATATTGGAGATATCAAAGTGATTGTGTACACAGGAGCTGCAGGAGAGCCATGGTGTTTCATTTCTCACCTCGAAATTACAGATAAATCAGAAATAGACAAGAAAAAACACATGCTCCTGATTATACAATAAACCTGTAGGTATTTATGCATACACACTGTTAAAGCCATAATACGGCTCCTCAGAATAGACCTAACACCATGCATTTATCTGATAACTACATTTCACACAATACTGTACCAACAGGCTTACTGAAAATCTGCAATAGCCCTTTTTTTTCCTTCCTGAGGCCGCTCTTCTTTTTCTGTCCCTCCTGAGGTAACCTGACACACTTTCATGAATTAGCCGAGACAAGACGGACGGCTATTAGAGCTGCCACAGCAGATCCGGCTGAATATAAAAAGGTCAGAATTAGCATTAAGAAAAGCAAAGATGAAAGTCCTAAAACTGCTCCCCTGATCCATTTTTAACTTTTTAATATTTCTCAGCTGCACAGTATTTCCTTCTAACGTGTCCACAGCGCTGGTATTTATCCTAATAAAGGTGGATTTAATATGGCTTTTATTGCTGTATTTTTGATACGGAGCCTGTAAATGGCAGGAGAACTTTACTCAGCAGTTGTGTGTGATTCTAAGTGCAAATGTTCATGTGTGTGTCTTGCGTCTATAAGTAAGACGCCCTTGGGGCCTTGGTTCACTTGGCAGAGAGATGGAAATTACTTAGCTCTGCTGTTTTGAAACAAATCACAAACAAGTCTCCTAGCAGCAATTCAAGCAGAAATAAAGGCCTGATTCAAACCTAGTAAAACCTTCATGTGAATAACTTTAGAAACCCGGTTGCCTCAAAAAAAACAAAAAAGTATAGCTCCCCTAGGCTCTGAAAATAAACCTTTAGCTTAAATGTGGCTCACAGAGGAATGGTATTATTGAGCCAAGCGAATGAGCAACAGCAGCCACAGGATGTTAGCGTTACTATTCATAACTTATTTTCCTATGCCTAAAACCGTTTTCCCTTCTGGTCTCACCTCTGCCGCTCTCTTAAAAATGCAATTACCTACTGGCAAATTTACAGGAAAAGAAAAACAATGACTTTTGACCAGAGGAGCCGTTACAGTGAATGTCAAATTGATGCTGCACAAGAGCCCGCTGAGCTCTACTGTGCAAACTGAGTGGAGGAAATATAAAGAGAGATGAATCACATTATTCCTTTTGTTTTAGTCCAGCTTGGGGTTAATAAAATGTGTGGATTCATGAGCGGCAGAGAAAATGCAGCGAATGGCAAATAGACATGTTCAAGCACTTCAAATTCCTCACTGGAACCACAGAATGCTTTTCATAGGTGTGACTGGTGAGAGTGTTTGAATGGAGGTCACTTGTATTTATAAACAGAGAGTCCCAACTAGGGTCAAAATGAACTGAAAAAATATATATTGACAGCATATAGAAAAGCAAAAAAATTATCATTCATAAAGCACTAACATCTTTAAGTAGTAAGACTAGTGGTTATAGACGCTCCATGTGCAGAGGCTTGCGGGCGCCCAGGGTCCGACTCCGACCCTCTGCACATTGCCTCATGTATTTCCCCACTCTCTCATCCAAGTGTTCTATTATATCCAATGTCCTCTCTGAATAAAAGCAGAAATACCCAAAAAAGAATAAACTTTAAAAAAAATAAAAATTAGAGGCGCTGGTAGCCTAGAGGTTAATTCCTGCGCCCAATGTACAAAGGTTGTACTCCTGGAAGAGGGTGGGCCTGGTTTGATTACGACCTTTGGCTCCTTTCCAGCATGTCATTCTGCCATTCTGTCTCCTTACTGTCCTATCTCTCAAATAAAGGCATAGAAAGCCCCCGAAAGAAATCTAAAAATAAATAAACAAAAAGAGCATGTTTGTTGAGATGGCTTCAGTTCATCTGGGCAATGAGAGCACAGCACAAATAGTGAAATGTGATAATATAAACAAAGTAGTGATGAGAGAAATGAGAACCCAGAACACAAGCTAATGATTTCCAGTCCAATCCAAATGACTGAAAAAGGAAAAGTAGCAAAGACTTCCTCACAAAGCCTTATAAACAACTCAAACAGATTCTCATCACTGTTTAACGCTCTTGTATTGTGTCTTTATAAAATGATTTCATTCAAAGCTAAGTTTGTGAGTTAGATTGTGAATAATAATATAATAATAATATTTTCAATATCTGATTATTTGAACATTTTAAATGCAACGAATTACTGTTCCCTGGAATGAAACATAGTAATTTGTGGACAAGAGTTAGGGCATGTGGGGGGTTAAATTCATGTCAGTGATCACATGTGTTGTTATTTGGAATGAGACAAACTGTTTTTTTAAATTGACTGAGGTCATGTTATAAAACTGATGAAAACTGATGGAAACCAACCGGGAAAAAAAAAATGCAAATGAGGTTTTGGGAAAGACTGAACATCAACCAGGAGCAACTAAAGCAACTGTTAAAAAAAATGTTTTAATAGTAGCACAACAATATTATTGTCTTCACAGCACAATCTTCTACATTGTCAAACCCTGCATGCATTTCTACAATGTCCCACAGAGTTATATGATGACAAACAGGTGGGCTAATGTAGCTTAAACTGCTAAACTTGAGCAGAAATGTTAAAACTACCTGCAGAGGTTTGATAAACTGACTTCTTTGAGCTTCCCAAGCCCAGATTTTCTTCATTTAATGTGAGATAACGTTTTACATATCCCCTTGTGTCAACAAAGAACTGTGAACAAACTTTTTAAATGTCAAGTCGAAATGATTATGCTCTCAAGAAGTGCAGAGAGCTCGAAACCAGGCAGTTTTTCTCAGCTAATTAAATGCTGTTGTTCTGAATATAGTGTTTTTCACAGGTTTGCAATTCAATTTGACTTTGGAACAAAAAGATACAGAAGCTACCTATTCTTTGGCCCTCAATGCTTTTCAGTTTCATGGTCAGACCTTTAACAAAATGAAATCTTAAATGAATTCAAGTACATTTTTCTGGGATTTCACACAATGGAATCAAAAAGCTTGGCCCACAAAGTGCACACAGTGTCCATTTTCCACTAGAGGCAGACTTGAACAAATGGTTTGGGTAACCATAATGACATAATTGAAAGTATGAGATGAACCAAACTGTGAGAATGAGTTTAAAGTGCCTGCTTACATTCAGAGTTCAGGACATGAGGAGCTACATGTTTCATGGGGCGATAAGCAACTCTCTAACGGCCATAAACTGTTACTGTAATGGTTGTTGGATTTTCAGATGAGCTAATCTTTAAACTTCATTGAAATGTCCAGTTGCTTCACTCACCAAACTCGTCACAGATGCTGTCGTTCTGTAGAAGGGCGGGATGTTCGAAGGTGTCCCGGCAGTATAAGATCCTTGTGCTTCCTCCCAACGCAGCGATGCCGCCCAGTGCCAGCACTGTGTGGTCGATGAGCAGGGAGGACGGCTGCTCTCTGAGCCGCGCCAACACTGAGCGATAGCGGCAATACTGGGGGTAACTGAGGACCAAAACTTTCCTCCCATCCTCCTCCTGGCCTGGAAAACACAGAAAATAAAGACATACAGTTACAAAGGCCTCAGAGAGTATACATAGATCAACTTGAAATTCAATAGGGAAACTTTTTTTGGAGAGCCTTTTGTTTAGCAAGTGACCTTGTAAGATTTCCAGAGAATGCAGGCACTTAGTTTTAGTGACACCTTAGTCACTCCTCATTGATCATTATTTGGTTGCTACATTATTGTTACACATCTACAGCCATTGTAATGAAAATTAGCCATTTACTCTTTGCTGTTGGAACAAAGTCTGTTGTTAAATTTCAGATCCCATGACTTCAGGTTTATTTTAATCTGAGTAAGGACATGATAAAGCCTAAAAACATTATTATGGGATTAAAAAAAAATCAATCAAAACAGAAATTAGAATGTTTTTTTAAACAGCATTAAATAGTTTGAATTAAAGTTTCACACTGCTTCCTTGTAGCATAATAATAATAATTTCACAAGTCTGACAGAACACCATTTCATTTAAAGTTATGTTGTCTGGCTGCATGTTTGTAATGCACGACATGCATCGCTGTCAGGGTGACAAGAGGAATGGCAACAACAACTCTAGAAGCTTGCAACTTTGACTGACAAGGTCTTTTTAACAAGCTGGTTCAAGATCAGAAAATCCTCGGTGCAATTTAGACAAGGGGTGAACGGGTGCTTGTGCGCATGCATGTGTGTGTGAGTGCTGACCTTGTTACCCCTAAAGCCATAAATGTATGAATCTATTTACACAAGCTTGGAATACAAAATAACTTATAAGAAAACAAACCGTTTAATGCAATGAGTGCACAATAAAGTCCGTCCTGCTTTGAGATCAAGGGACTCTAGTTTGACTGTAGACAAAATCGGTTGATAACAAAGAACTGATTTCTACCACGAGAGCCAGACTTCATTACCACATTGGATCTGTTTTTTCTAATGTCAGTATGAAATTAAAAAGCCACAGACAGTGTTCAAGTTTTACATTCATTATCAGCAATGACAAAGAACTGGCAAAGAAATCTCTTTCGTCGTTTTAAAAACCTTTTAATGTTATAGATTCCACAATTCATACCAATTGATGGAAGTATAATGCACCAAATCATTGTTCGGAAAACCAGCATAAAACACAAGAAGAACAACCCTGGATAGGAAGTAGAGACTAATTTGACACCCTGCAATAATATGTTGAGATCTAGTTGTTAACAATAGTATACTCAAGAACAAGATGAAGAGTCTTCAGCTACAATGCAATGTCCACTTATTCAGTTTATTGTGTTAGCAGCAAGCTAACATTTGCGAATCAGCCAAAAGTACAGCTGAGGCTTTTGGTTTTGTTATTACTTGTGCAGAAATTTGGTCAAAATCAAATGCATTTGGTAGAATTTGCACAATAATAACATTTGCTGATGACGTCTTTCCCCTGCACAATACAGGTCTCTAAAATAACAGCTGAACAATCAGACTCAGTTTTATTTTCATTATTCAATTAATTTGGATCTCCTCTTACAATACATCATCTTATATAAGTCGATGCTGCACAAATACTAGAATGTAAGCCGTCAAGTCTACAGGATGTAGAAGGTGATTAAAAATAACAGTTTTTTTCTACAGTCCTGCTTAATTATATCACAACACCTCCTGCCACCCACACCGCTCAAATATTATAATCTACAACTTATCACATGCCTAGTTATTAATTTCTATGCAGCACAGGATGGAACGACTTACATAAGGCACTGTGGAAGGTAATGTTTGAATGAGCTGTAAAGAAATGACATTGTCCTTGTTTCTAAAAATGGTACTGTTCGTCCTTCAATTACTTTAAAAATAAAGAGCTATGTTTTCAGACTCATCCATTCAAAGTGTATCTCTCTCTTGATTTAAAAAGGTTTACACCAAAATGAAACCGTTTTTTTTAGGTCTAAGACTGCCTTGACAAGACAAGCAACATCACACCAAGATATATGTCAAATAATACAACATCAACTAGGCATCCTATACTTTTGTTCTATATATATTGATCGTTAAGGCCATAGAATATATTTGAATAATCACAAAGAAACACCCTAAATTTACCCTAACCCATTTTGTTCAGAGCTTTAGAATACATTGTTTGATGTATTCAGTTTCACACCAGAGAAGTCTAAGAAATCCTCTGAATAAAAACCTTTGAAAAGCTGAAAACACTGATTTTGTTCATTTCTGCTTAATGTGACTCACATGGTTATTCAGAGTAATAGTGGCTGAATCACTAACTGATTTAATTAACTTATCGTTTCAGCAATCACATCATATTGTGTGGACTCACTTGCTCTCAGTGGCGTGTTGTTTAAAACTGGAGTGCTAATATTTTTCTAGCTTACAAAGCCGACTACACGGTTCAACAGTTGATGAAGCAGAGTCAGGCAGTTTGAAACAGGATTTTTACATGAATTATTCACCGTGCTGTCTGCTTTTACAAAGCCCTCGGACATGACATTCATGGGAATTTCTGCTGCTGAGTTAATATTTCAAGGATGGCTAACTAGCCAAGCTTTTCACCTTGGCTTCTTCAAGACAAACAGGCAGTTTGAAGAGGCCTATTTAAAAATACGACCCCCCCCCCCCCCCCACCTCCATTTCATGTTGTTTTATCAAGCTGGAGGCTGATAACATCATTGAAATGTGCTGCAGAAACAGGAGAGGACACCATTCATAGTATATTTACTGCAGCTGCATTCCTCACAATCAGCGTAATTAGTTCCAATGTATTCCAGTGTGACGACCACTTCAAAAGAAATTATTAAAACCATTCAACCTACACACACACACACACACACACACACACACACAAAGACAGACAATGTGGAGTTAGGCGCCACAAAGCTTACAGATGTATAAGCACACATACATATTCCTATGCATACAGATACCATGCCGCAGACGCACACATTCATTAAACCTTGCAGCAGTTATCGTATGCAATTACAGCTCAGAGGCAGAGCAGGCTTTGTTTCCAAATGTCAGGATTTTATTGTAAGCGGTCACTGTCAGGCCAGCTCTTTCTCCTGAGGACCCTCACAGCATTTCACTTGATTAGATTCAATTTAGAGAGAGAGCCACAGGGCATTAATAACTGTACAAAGTGGTTGCATTGCATGCATGTTGATGTGTGTGCACTGGTGCATGTAATGTACATTTAGCATTTGTATTCTCTCAACTAAATTCCTTTGTTCTTATAGTGAACCCTTCAAAATAATGGACAACTTTATCTTTGCCTAAGCTTTCTAATTGACTGCGAGGCTGTGGCTGCATGGCTGGAGAGCTAGAAGACAGAGTGAGAACATTATGCAATTTGTCTCCCTCTCTCTCTCTCTCTCTCTCTCTCTCTCTCTCTCTCTCTGGGTCTTTATTTCTATTTTCTCTTTCTGTCCGTCAGTCCTCTCTGGGTGGCAGTATAGCATGTTGATCAAACAGCTGCAGTGTGGGAGATTATTTTCAGAACATGCTGTAAAGCTTCTGACCTCATAAACTACAATAGTGTCAGGGTCATAACTGCTCTGCAGGACAGCTGACGTTACAACCACTCTGTGATTTCAGTGCTCAATAAATGGTAATACAATATAATAAACACCAACAAACTGATAAAGTTAGTAACAGGTACTAACTGTATTGCTATACAATTTAAGCTCTTTACAAAATATTACACTTTAAAGGACACTGCTTGATTCTGAATAAACTTGTGGAGTACAACTCATCTGTGAAAAAGTTGTATAATCTCTTCTTCAGCTCACAAGGAGCTTTCCAAAGTCTGAAAATAACCCTGATGATGTCATAACGATGTCATCAGGGTTGGGTTGCACACAACAAACCTATAACAGAAAACATGTGTGACAAATTTAGAGGCATTGGAGTATAAAAGACATGGGGATCTATGAGCCAAGAGAGCCCAGATGAAAGACGAACTGTTGAGTTGCATCGTGGGAATTGTAGGTTTCATTGTAAGAATAAAAAGGGGACCAAAAGTCAGATATTTGCTACAATTTTTAACAGTTTGTCTGTCTTTTATAGATCTACAAAGTTTGAAAAGAATTTAAAAAAAAAATGAGGAATCATTAATAGATGCAGTTCTATTCAGTAACAAGAGCATTAGAATACAATATAGGTCCGAGAAGATGAACAATGTGTTCCTCTTAAAAGGAGGGTTTACAAAAACTGACATTTAAATGACTTTGTACTGTATAATAGACGGTGCTAAGCTTTGAAGCCATAAAAATAAATGATTATTCTCAGTGTAAACTTAAAGGGGCTATATGTAACTTTCAAAAATATTGCATTTGTAGTGATACCTCATGGCCGTTAGGCAAACTGCAGCAGTAACCTGTTGCTGGAGTGAGGAGGACGTTGAGAAAGTGCATAAAATGTCACTTCCTTGAGCTTTCGCGGAAAATAAGACCCGGGGAAACTTTTTATACAGGCAACACAGATACACAGTGAACATCTACTTTTTCAAATCAGTTAACCATTTGCTTATTAATGGGCGATAAAAAACGATTTATACATGTAAAAAGTTACATATAGCCCCTTTAAAGTTAGAAAGAGAACAAAGACCTTGGTGGCTTCTTTTTACTGCTCCCTATCATAACTTTTATTATTATAGTTGTTGTTATAGTGGCATAGATTCCCTGTAACAAAAGATGACACATTATAAGCTGAGCCAAAGGTATGAAATTGAATACACTTCCTGTCTCTTAAACATACGTGGTAGCCTTCCTCTTTAACAATAAAACACTTGATAAAGAACCGATTAAATGTCTGCCCCTTATATTGCCAGCTGTTTTTATTTGCTTGCTAAATATCTGATATCAACGTTGTCCATTATCATATCTGTCTTATAAATAAATATAAGAGAAATCAGTCATTGTATTATATTGTATAACTCAACTGGGACCTTGTTTTTAGGCTTACCAGGAAGTGTTGGTGTGTGAACTTATAACTGAAAAGCTTTCACACATTTCTAATAATAA